CTGGCCACCCCTTGGTAAAGATGCCATCAGGTTCAATGTAAGAAAGACTCAGATGCCTCAGGAGATGGTGGATGAGAAGACCATGGTAAAACTTGCTCTTCTTCATTCCTCTCTTACCCCAGTGTGGTGGTTGTCCCTCTTTCCTAAGTGGGTCTGAACTCTAGCACATCAGTTTTCGATTTTCCTTTCCTTCACTACTTGTTACTCTAAAACCAGCCTCGGGTGTCTTCAGAAGGCCTTTAAGTCTGAACTCATCCAGTCTTAATGTCTCAACTTCTAAAGATTTACTTTTTTTGGAGAGTTTGTTTTCAATTTACTATCTGTTGCATTAGAAACTGAGAGAGCAGTAAATGAAGGTCTACAGGAGAGCATCCACATGTGACTACTGTACTCTAAGGCTATCTGATCCTTTAAAGTACAGACTGAAGTGCAAGAAGTTGGACTATTCTGATTTAAACCAGGTTCTATGATGCTGGCGCAGGCAAATTTGAAGGAGAAAGGAAATTATGTAAAGAAATCCTTTTTTGCTAACCTTCAATCTAGAAAGATGCTTTAGTATAAAAGACCCATCACTACTATGATACCCACAAATACCCCTCCCCAAAACCTCCTAACAACCTTTGCTATGCCCATAGTCCCTGCAATGCCAGAGCCCTGCCTGTAAAGGCTGAGAATTTGATGGGAAAAGCACTATCTGGGAGTAGCCTGTCCTATGTACATGTACAAGGTGGAGGGAGGGAAGTGTTAAAAGGCTGCATTTTAGTTGTTAGCTCTGTCAGCTTTTCCACTAAATGATTGTTTCTCGCAGGATGCGTTCAAAGGCTCTCTGTTCACTGCAGGGGCAAAGCAGCCTTGCATGTCGACCTCCTCTTCCTGAAGTCTGGGCAGTGCAAAGCCTCCAAGTCCTAGATATGCTCCTGAGAGAACCTTCTTTTCACCCATTGCTATGAAAAACAACATCCTCTGAGTTTGTTTCAAGCTTTCTCCCTCAAGCTCTCATCTGCTTCAGATTGCATCAGTGCTACAAGCTGTTTGCCAGCGCAGTTGTCCTTGGTGAAGACATGGCCTTTCATGGCTGGAAGCAGTTCCTCTTCTTGAGCAAGCAGAACACCTTTGCCAGAGCGTGGAGGAGCAGGAAGGGAAGCCCTTCTCTGGGTTGGAAACACTGCTGCCACGGGGGTGCTGGCAGGTCTGTGGCCCCCGAGATGAGAGCGTTTCTGGAGGAGAACACAGAGGTCACCAGCAGCGGGAACCTCACGCCAGAGATACAGCTGCGCCTCCTCACCCCTCGCTGCAGGTTCTGGCATGAAAAACTCGACTCGTGGCCTTATGGGGACCCATTCTGGGCAATTTACTGGCCAGGAGGTCAAGCCCTGTCCAGGTATGCAGCACACAGACCACTGAAGTTCCTAAGTGCAGTCCACTGCTGCCAGGCATGCCAGCCCTTACACAGTAGAGCAGCAGTCGCTGCTGGTTGGCAGTGAAATTTCAGCACTTGCTGAATGTAGATAGCTTATGGCTCTTATATTGACTGAAGCCTATAGTCTTCAGTGGAACTGCACGTGCTGACAACTGAATTTGGCTGAATTTGGATGTGTGGGAGAGCCATGCAGTTGCCATCAAAACCAAGCGAGCTTTTTACTTCCATCAGTCATAGTCAATCCCCAAATATGAAGTTTCCATTGGGAGATGGCTCAAGGGTTTTTGTTTTATAGGAGACAGATAGGTGCATGGATGTAGGTCTGGCTCTGCTGAGGAAAGTAGGCTTAGGCTGATGCACCTGGCAGTGCTGGTTAGCCTCAATCAGTGTCCTCATTTAGGATTTCTGCAACCCCATTGATTCAGGGTTCACAGTCCAAGTGTAAATGAGTATTTAAAGAATCCTCCTTATTTTCTAGTCACATAAGAACCTGCATTTTCATTCTGGCCATTCGCTTTCAAATGTGTTTGATATTCCTGCTTTCCAGGAGCTAGTTTGTGTTCTCTTATCTTGCAAAATCAGACTTCTCACTTTGAACAGCAGAAAAAATTCCTAATTGTTACAGAAAACAAACTGTCAGTCTTCCCCACACTGAAGAGAAGATCTGAACTGCTGCTCTGCAAGAATGTAGGAACAGGAAAGAGTCTTACAGTTCCAAACTGTGAGTTGATTAGCCTGCCATTTAGATGAATTAAAGTACTCTTAAACATCATGTAATTAAATTAAGGTAATCCATACGATTTATTATTATATGATTCATGTGCCTAGGTAGTTGGGTAGCAACGCTAATTGATTAACTACCATTTATGCACTTGTTTTGATGAGATGGAAATGTCGGAAATTACTTGCCTAACCTGGAAAGCTAAAAATAAATTAAAAAGCTAATAAAAGGAGCATGAAAGCATGCTGCTTCTGTAGCTAGCTTATTTCCCAAGTGAAATTTCCACATCTTGAGAAGGTGACTGTTTCAGACTATGCCTCACAGCGTAACGAAAGACACCTTGTTAACCAGCATGTCGGACACCAGTCTCCAACATCAGCATCACCCACCCTGTCCGTGGCAGGGTAGATAGTAGGTTCCTGCTGTTTTAAGTTGCCATAATCATTAGAGGTGACTTGGGCAGCACTCAGCTGGAAGCAGGGCGCTCCACAGTGTTGGGTCAGGTCACGCTTGAAATGCATTCCTGTAGGAACGTAATTGCAGACGCCAGCACAGCCCCTTTCCATGGGGAGAGGAAGCAGGGCGCTTTCCATGGAGGTGCCATCCCTGCCTTCCAACGTTTGCCAGCTGTGGGTTGTCCTCAAAGGACCAAAACCCACGGGAGGTATCTTTGAGGCCTGCTTCTGCTCTTCCTTCTGGTGCTTCTGTGCCTGGACATGCACATTCATTTGCCGTTTACACCAATCCTGACGTTTCTGTTACAGTTCTGTACGTTATAACATCTGTGAAAGTTGTACTTACCAGCAAGCTGTGCCTGTGCTGACAGGCAGCCGTCATCTTCCGTGCTAGGAGATGACACAAATGTAGAATCCTTTCGTGTTTCTAGTTTAACAGTTTAGCTTTTGTTAGCTTTTGTCACTTAAGGCTTTGCACCCTTACCAAAAAAAAAAAAAAAAGAGATTTTCTAGGCTTTTGTTCTTTTTTTGAACATTCAAGATTGGCAATATGTTTAATCATAACCACTGCTTGCCTTGTGTCAGTTCTGCCTCTACATTTCCAGGCACTTTGCGTGCTGATTCCTCGTAGCGGGTACCA